CCCCCACCGGCGCCCCCCCACAAGGAGCTGTGAGTATCCCAGACGCCTGGGTTCTTTGGGGCTCAGGGGGTGTGGGGGGGGGTCCCCCAGCATTAACCCTTCTCTGCCCTCCAGGCTGCAGCGGAGCAGCTCTTCGGACAAGCCTGACAAGGCCAAGCCCCGGCAGAGGCTCAGCAAGAAGGCGGCATCCACGGCCAACCTGCTCGCGCGCTGCAGCAGCCTGGAGAAGTACGGACCCCCCCACGCACCCCCCGCCCCGCCAGGGGACCCAGGTGTCGGGGCGCCAGCACCCCCTCTACCCCTTCTCCGAGCTGGAGCGAACCCAGGTGTCCACGTCCCCCCACCCCGCCGCTGACACTGCTCTTCCCTTTCAGCCGGGTGAAGGATCCGACCCTGAGCCCAGGTGAGTGTGGGGGTATTGGGGGGCTTAGGGGGGCTTTAACCCTTTCAGCTCCACATCCCTGACCCCCTTCCCCCGCCATGTCTGCAGGTCCCCTGGGCTCCCGGCGCGGGAACTACAATCTGGGTGAGGTGGCCTTGGGGGGCAGTCCTATAACAGTTGTATGGGGACTGGAGGGGCTTCATATAGGGTCTGTCATATGGAGGCAAGGAGGTCATATAGGGTTGGGGGGTGGGTTGTAGGGGCTGGGAACAGCCATATAGGCCCTGGAAAGGTCAGATAGGGCTGGGGGGGTATCGTATTTGTGTGGGGAGGGGGTGCTTTGTATAGGGTCTGGGGAGGTATATGGAGGTGGGGGGGTCATATAAGGACTGGGGGGTCCTAGGGTCCAGGAAGACTCAGTATTTGTTATAGGGCCTAGAGGGGTCACAGAGGAGGCAGGGGTCAGAGGGACTGGGAGCAGTATACAGGGGTTGGGGGGTCGTATCCAGGCCAAGGAAATCGGGCAGGGGCCAGAGGAGGTCGTTTAGGGACATGGGGTCGTAGGGGACCTGGGGGAGGTTGTTCAGGGGTGGGGAAGGCCATAGAGGGGTTGGGGGGCTTGGCTCAAGGGTGCCCATGCCCTCCTGTGACCCCTGACCCCCTGCAGAGGGCCGGTCAATCAAGATGTTCCTGCGGGGCCGGCCCATCACCATGTACATCCCGTCGGGCGTCCCTCACTACGAGGGGCTGCGGGCCGAGCTGCCCCCTGAGCGCCTGCAGCTGGAGTGGGTGTATCCTGACCCTGACCTTGACCCCAACCCTGACCCCCCCCATCTCTCTATCCCCCTGTTAGGTCCCCCCCCAGGCCCAAAACCCTCCCCCAGGTC